CACTCAGAGCAATCTAATCATAACATTTTACAGAATTGTAAGGAATCCTAAAGATCTTCCCTAACAGCCTCACTTAACAAATAAGGGAGCGAGAATGCTTACTATATCGAGCTGTGTGCTATACACATAATTTTTAAATAAACATTACATAAATTTATATGAGATGACAACAATGCTGTATCAGAGAAGGCTGAGCTGCAGTTTTGAGAAATGAAAGAAGAGGAGGAAAGGTAGTAATTTATGGAGAAACAAATCTTGAGTATGTGGCTTGAATATTTCTCAATTTTTCAATAACAGCTCCATGTAGACAATCATACCAATAATTAATGTATACATACAGCTTTACATTTTCAATCTATGACTTCATTTTCTATTTGGACAATAAGTATGGAAATCTTTAGTAGAGAAGGTGCTGGCAACAGTACAGAACATAATGTCCCCTGGGACAGGAACCTCACTCTTTCTTTCATTATGATGATGCTAATCTACTTCTATTATTTACATCGCCCACTGTGCATTATAAACTGGTAATTTAGTGGTTGCAGTATTCTTATTTTTATTGACGATAAGAAGAAAGCCATGCTAGTGACAGCTTTTGGGCATAATATCTTGGATAGGCTCTATAATTGATAATTGATGTGTCCCTTATGAGAAGGGTCTGTTTTCACAGCATTCATTATGCACATCATCAAGTTTGCACAACTAACACCAGGATGTGTTCAGATCAGCACGCACATCTTATTCTACTCATGCCCCTGACTATGAAGCAGGAAACCAAATTTTTGGTTCCAGCTCTTTAACCCAATGATTATCTGACCTTTCAGAAACTACTTAAAATCTCTGAACCTCAGGATTTTGATAGGAAATATTAGGAGAATAGTACCAGCCCTAACTGTTTCACAGAATGGATGAGGATCTGAAAAATCTTAACAGACTTGGACAACTCTTGTGTTTGCTCTTCTTATGCTCATTTCCTCCTCCCAGCATTTGGATGGTATTTAGTTTCCTCTGTGTGTTTTCTTCCCTCCACTCTTCTTGCATTTATAGATATTTTTGCATGGTAACAACCTCAACAGTCTACACCAACTAATACATCCCGAGATTCTGCCCTCTGAGTTTGGAGGAATGCTGCCCCCTTATGACATGGGAACATGGGCAAGAACACTGCTAGACCATGAGTATGATGATGACAGTGAGTACAACGTGGACTCCTACAGCATGCCCGTGAAGGAAGTAGAAAAGGAACTCTCCCCCAAGTCCATGAAGAGGTATGTTGGAGATGGATTGGGAAGAGGGCTGGGGCCAGGGGTGGGGGAGGCATCTTGAGTCAAACTCCAAGTTTTATATTTTACTGTATACATTTTTTCCCGTGAGATTTTGAAGTATTTCATGCTCCCATGATTGGATGTATAGGAATTTTGAGTCAAAGATAAAGTCTTTTTTTTTTTCTTTGTAGTGAGTACATTTAAAATCTACTCAGCAGTTTTCAAGTATACAACACATTATTAACTCTGGTCACTCTGCTGTGCAGTAGGTCTCCACAACTTCCTCTTCATCAACTGAAACTTTGTACCCTTTGACCAATATCTCTCCACCCTCCACCTCAGTGCCTGGTAACAACCATTCTACTCTTTACTCCTATGAGTTTAACTATTTTATATTCCACATAGATGTGACATCATATAGTATTTGTGCATCACGTTGTACCCCATGTATATATGTGATTGTCAATTAAGACAAAGTCATTTGAGATAACCTCAATTTAGTGTTGTTCCAGATTAACAAACAATCTAGCAGGGCCCTTAGAAGTCACCAGATTCAGTGGTTTTCATATTGTACCCTGAGGAACCAAAGGTTTTGATGGTGGCTCAGGCCAACCAGTGGGGTATGGAGAGTGCCTATTTCCACTGTGATGAGAGCAACTCTCCTATCTAAGCAATTTATTAGACTTCTGTAAGATTCCCTTTGACGAAAGCAACCAACACACACACACACACATACACACACATACACACATACACAAACACAAACACTTCAATTGAAACACCATGGTCAAAACTTGTGGTCCCTTTTCAATATCTCTGCCAAGTCTTTGTCTAAAGGTCTAACCATCCCTAGTGCAAAACATTGTGGGGAAATGGTTTTTTGCTAGTCAGCAAGCTTATATTTAAACCAACTTTTAGGCTTCTTAACTCCCTTCTCTTAGAACAGAACTTCTTGAGATCTATTCTCACCCAACCTAAGGGATTCATGGATGGGCTCTCAAAGGATTCTGTTAAGTGCTAAAAGTTGTATGTAAAATCTTGTGTGTATATGTGTGAATGTACTATATATACTTTGTGCATTTTTCTGGAGAAAAGACATATATTTCATCAAAGTTTCAAAAAGTTTTCCAAAACAAAAATGGTTAAATGTAGCTACCTAAGAATAGCTTCCATCTAATAAAGTCATAATCCTAATAATAGTAGTTATAATCTGTTATTTACTCTGCACTTATCATGAATTAGGCCCTTACTAGGTGTTTTTTGTTTTTACATTAATTTATTTAATCCTCACAGCACCCTTTTAAACAGGTATTGTATCCTCAATGTTAAGTAGTCTGTAATAGAGCAGGGTTCCAATCCATGAGGGATGGAGTCTTTCATATTGTTGACATAAAGCTTGTCTACCCTTCATGATGGCATGGCACTGAGCTTTCTCACTATGGAACTGAGCTATGTAAGGATTTGGAGACAGCTGTCATCAGTGTTCATTAGTCTTCTTCTTTGCCACCTAATAAGGGTCTCTTACTTCAGCCATTCCTCCTGTGGCATGTTCACTTACACGGTCCCATAATAAGAGCACAGTTCTCTGCATAAACTCTACAACCTTGTTACACCACCATCACCCACAGTCTGCTCACTTGCACCCACTCCCAAAATTTCTTAACTGCCTTTATTATCTCCAGCCTTACTTGCTCCCCTATCCTCCATTTGTTATCCATATGGCAATTAAAAATCTTTTAAAAGTATAAATTGAATCATTCCACACCTTTGCTTTAAGTTTTTAAATAACTGCAGTTTATACAATGAATAAAACCAACTCATTTTCATGGCTTAGAAGTGGCTACCTGATCTGACCTTGCTTCCCTCTCTCTACCAGGTGTATCCCACCCTCTCCTTCCACCCCTACCTTTTAGACCACAATAGCCTCCTCTATGTTCCTTCAGCCTCTCCACCTTGTTCCTATCTAAGGGTTTTTATGTTTGTCACTACTGCCTGAAATGCTTTTTTCCTTCATCTTCAAATGGCTCATCCCCATTAAAGGTCAACTCCTCAAGAGTTTTTTGATCTTATCACCCGCCTGGTCTTTAGCTCTGTTTCTCCCTCATTCTAGTCATTCCCTGTCAATCCTTTCTTTTCTTCATAGTACCTAGTGATCTATAAAATGATTGATATTATTTAATTTTATATCTGCACCCCATCTCCCCATGTGAGCGTCATAGAGAATAGAGACCACAGTGATTTTGTCTGTCTTGTTCTCCTCTGAATCCCCAATGCCTGGAGAAGGTCCCGTCATACAGAGGGTGCTCCCTAAATATCAGTTGAATGAATGAAGGAGTGCTCTGCTGTCTGTCAGTGACCCCCATTAAGTGCAGTATTTGTAACCGACTAGGTGACGTCTGAGCCCAGTTTTATTACTTGCATTTAGGTTCCAGAACTCTGACTTTGTAGTGTAGACCTCATTGACTTCTTTTTATGCTATTGTTGTTGTCACTATTGCTGTTTTTCAGGCAGCCAAAGCACATTGCTGACTCGTATCCGGCTTCCTAAATCTAGAAAGTCTCTTTACTTATCAATCTATATCCTCCTAATTCTTTATTTCTGTTTAACCTTTTTTCCCCAGTCATATTATTTTAATTGATCTTGTTAGATTTGGCTCAGTCTGTCCACCTTTTGAAGTCCTTTTGGATCCTGATTCTCTTCTCCAATTTATTAGGCCATTTTTCTCCCTGTTCTTTGCTTACAGCACATCAGTGGCCCCAACCCTGAGTTTCTAGCTTCTGACATGGGCCGACTAGAATTTCAGACATCGTTTGTTTGGTGTATGTTTGGCATCATATGAAACATTTGTGATTACACTGGAAAAATCCTGAAGAATGATATTGAGAAACTGCTTGTTTCACTCGATTCTCTTTTTCTCTTTGTCAGGGAGGGAATGGCAGTTCTCCATGCGGGATGGGAAAAGGTTCTCCTACATTTCACCCTGGCTCCCGTTGGTCCTTTTCCTTTTTGCAGTTTTATGTCATTCTTAGAGTGAGGTGGAAAACTCATTGCTTCACCAAAGAGCTGTGGGTAATTCTTCTTTTGGGTAAATTTAGCTACATCATAAGAAGACAACTTTGTGCTCCTATGTAAATTTGTGAAGTAATAGGATAGTCATGTGAAAAGACACAAAGTTCATTATATTGTGAGTATTTTCTAATTAAGGAGTATCTTTTACTTTACATCTTCAGTACCTAGAATAGTGCTAGCACATAAAAACTGCAGTGAGCAATAATTCTAATGTTATTATGGTGATGTGAATTTCTGATTATTGAATATTGAATATATTTTATTGAAAAATAGTAAACATTTATTGTTACTATATGCCAAACCCTATTCTAATGTTTTGTATATTTTGACTCATTTGCTTCTCAAAGCAACTAATAGGGTAGTACTATCCCCATTTTATTGATGGAGAGACTGAGACACAGGGAAGGTAAGTGACTTCCACATGTTGCATAACTACACGGTAGTAATGCTAATATTTGTATATAGGCCATAGTATTCCATGAGCTATATCCTTCACCATTACCATTTTCCATATGCCAGAATTTGTGCAGGGCTTTATACATTATTGCATCTGATCCTCATTATATCTGAATGATGTGGGTGTTATTTTCCCCATTTTACAAATAAGAGAACAAAATCTTAGGAAGTTTAAATAGCCTTCCCATGATCACAGAGTTAGTAAATTGCTATTACTAGCAACGGAATGGGAATCTACTTCTGTCCAAAAGAAATCTAGCCTCTTAAACGCTATGGAATAGCACAATATGGTAGATGCATAATAAATGAATAAATGAGTACTGGATGCCAAATTTAAATTATTGGTTTTCAAAAAATAAAAAAGTTTTTCATTGCAAAAACAGTAGAGGCTGTGTGGAGACCCCTGAGATGTACTATGAGTTATTAATAGACGGCTTTCTCCCTATTGCAGCTGGAATAAACCAATTCATTAACAGTTTTGATCCTGCACAAATAATCCCATTCTTTCATATTAGAGAGTAAAAACAAAAAATCAGGACTAAAACTATAGTACACTCGAGACAGCTATATATTAAAAAAAATCTTAATCACAAACTGTCTTTGCCTGTTTTTTTTTCTGTTGTTGAAGAATTGTTCCACATATAGAACCAACATTCACCATCCAACAATTCTGATATCTATAATGCATGATAAAAGTAAACTGGGGACCTAATCCCAGGTTGACTAATACACTGTAATTTAAAATATTTTGTTAAAATTGTCATATCCTCAAATAATATTTTTTTCAAAAAAGTCATGAAACATGGACTTAGAAGAATGTGTGTGTATTTGTGTGTATATATGTATGATGTGTGTTTTAATAGAATATTATGGCAAATGCAAATGTTTAAATTACCTCCTGCTATCTGAAAAGCTTTGGTGTTTACTTAGGGAATATTATCAGGATGTACCTCAACATTTATATAGTAGATTTAATTTTATGAGAATTTTAAAATTTATATTTTACAAAGAATTGTTTTCTCCATTATCCTCATTACTCTTCATTTCAAATGCTTAAAACCAAAATTCTTTTAATATGGGCATTATTTACTGGGTGAAAGTTAAGACATTGATAGAAGTGCATCCTTACTATGACACATGTTGTGTTCACAGTAAGGAGAGAAACTGATGAAGTCCTTGCTCATGGAACTTATAGTCTAGTGCGTGCCAGTTGTTGAGTTAATGCTCTAGCAAAGGACATTAAATGAACCTTTTTCTGTTTTAACAAGGATTCATATTGGGAAACTCATTTTCTCCATTGGGTTTTACCTAAAAACAGTGTTAAAGGTCTAATTACTAAGTGTTTTGTGCAATTGTCCACTTTTTTAAAAAGTATTTTACTCCTGAACTTTTTAAAAAAGATAATAAACATGTATTACTGTATTTAAAATTGATGCAAAAATCTTTTTTCTCTCTCTCTCCTCCTCCTCTCTCCTCCTCCTTCTCGCTTTCTCTCTTCCTTGAAAATGCACACACACACACACACGCACACACAAACTTCAGTCAGTCCCTTTGCTGAGATAGGCCTCTAATGCCTATTTAACATTGAGATAAAATAGTATAAATGAGTTAAGAAACAAAATCTTTCCTTTTTTTAATGCTCTCACCTTCATTTTCATTCCCTCTTTAGAAAAGCATTTGAGTTTATTTAAATAAAGAAATCGATTTATCAGTTAATCCTGTAATTATTTTTTCTTTGATAATTAGTTCCGTTGCTGTTCTTTTTCATTAGCATGTGCAGTTGTGTTTTAGCTTATAGTCTTTCTTTTCGAAAGTTAATGAGGTCTGTTAAGAGGCATATTGCCACAGCAAAAGCCAATTGGCTGGAATGCAGCAGCAGGGGAAGAATTCATTACCGAGGAGAATTTTAAAAAGGGCAGCTGCTTCCTTAATGCTATAGCTATTAAGATGGCAGTTTCCTGCCACAAAGGGAGCATGTTTCATTGATTTTCCTCCTTCCCGCTTTCATGTTGTTTCCTAATGATAAATTGAGATATAATTCCACCTGCTATCAAACGCATGTATTATAGGGGGGTTTCCAATTATGTGTTTTCCTAATCATAAAGTGTTGCTGCCTAAACAAGAGGGTTTTTTTCTTTTTAAAAGTCTTTAACGATTTTATGAAAGGTTCAAGAGTAAAGTTGATTTTATTTGAATGTTCTAATGGGAAATTTAACAAAATTGCATTCAAATTTGGGATTTTTTTGTTGATGTCACATTAAAATAAAAATGATGGTTAAAGAAAAATGCACATTCATGTTGAATTTGTTTCATGGATTCCTTTAAGACGGGGATTAAGCCTCCTATCATTTCTATTTAATTTCTCCTAATAATCATTTCACTATAGTATTTGTACCATTTGGAAATGTTTATTGGAAAACTTTGGTCCTACACTAAAAATTCTCAATATCTCAAAGAAAAGAATCTTTGCTTCTCACCATTCTATTTAGAGGCCAGAGGGGATTGTTTCTTCACTCCAATGCAAAATACCACTATAAGTGGTTTTTTTTCTAAATGTGCAACATCCACAGTTCATTAATTCCTTGATGTAGGGGAAGATATTCTACATCCATGGGAGAAGTAATGACAAAGAAAAGACAGAGAAGAGAGTATCATGTGGGTGATTATTTGGTAATAACTCACTGACACTGGCTTTATCCTTTCCAGATCCCAATCAGTAGTGGATCCTACAGTACTAAAACGCATGGATAAAAACGAGGAAGAAAACATGCAACCTTTGCTTTCTCTGGACTAACTTCTCTACACCCCTTCACGGATTAGAAATGGAAGGTACTGGTTTTCAGCAACAGGGACAGCACTGTGGAGGAATTATCAGCTGGAAACCTATTTATTCATGTTAATGTAGCATAATATATAATAAGGCATCAGGCTTTCCCATTTGTCTGAACCATGGGTGCCCTGGGCTGGATTAAAAAAAAGTCAATAATTTATTCTGTAAGTGCCAAGTTCTTTGTAAATATAATGTAATCTTCGTGTCAAGTTTGTAAATTTTGGTAGTAATTTAATTTGGAAAGGATTGGCTCAAAAGTCTATACCAGTGATATGAACTCTAACAAAAAGCAGAAAAGGCAAACAATCAAAGCTAATTAAATGTAGCCCTGTTTCCTATGAAGCCATATTTCAGCTATCATAGTGATTGTTTTCATTGTTTTTCTCTGAAACTGTGTCGGTATTCAAACATACTTTTAATGAGCACAGGGAACTAAATGATTCTAGGAAATTATGACAATTAATGTATCCTGTCTAGTGATTTTCATTTCAGAGAAAAACATGTCTTAGTGACTTTAACTGGCCTTGGAGTTTGGAGACAAGGAATGGCAGATGAGCTGGTAAACCGAACACTTAATTGAACTCTTCTATGTTGTTTAATTCTTGGAATCTCATGAAAAGATATGTTTCCCCAATTAAGATGCAGAATTGTGAAAGAGAGTGGATTCTTTTTAAACTGCTGTCTTCACAATGCACCCTTTATTCAAGACCCCACTGTACCCTCTGTCTGATGTGCTCTAAGAACATTTTCCCTCAAAATGCTTTGACCAAGAGAATGAGAACTTATATGTGAGTAGTCTTTTAACAGCTAATTTTGAACACAAAATTTTGCCACTTATAGATAAGGGGCTAATTTCTAATTATTGTGCACTGGTTGGAAAAAATATATATGTATATTCACATGCACCATATATATTTTTACTAAGCTCTAATAAATCCTTGATTGACAGGCTTATAAAATAAATCAAACATATTAAATGATTTTAGAGATGTTATAGATGATTACATGAGATGTTAACTCTGGAAAACTTCACTGAAGTTAATGAAAATGAGAAATAGTGAAACAGACTTTCAGTGTACCTATTTAAGGGAATTCCAATTTAATTTATAATGCAATCTTGAATATGTCATTTTATTTAAACTATGTTTTTTCTTCAAAGAAGCAACAGGTCTCAACATAGTGTAGGTGATATTCGGTGACAAAGAGTGAAATATTTTTTTCTCAAATTCGAGTTAATTATCCTAGTGATCCTATATGTATACAATTTCTTTTCACAAAACATTAAAAGAATACATTATATCCAGGAGATGTAATGAAATCATCTGAAGGCATGTAAGATAGCATGTAGTTTATATCTAGATTTGGAATTCATATATTATTTACCATTTTATTTCATAAAAATTCTATAATTATAGCAAATTTTAATAATCTTATTTTAAATTTCAAACTTTAACATGAGAAAGCAAGATTTTTATTACCCTTTCAGCATGATAAATCTTGAGATTGAGAATTTACCATTAAAATATTCTTTTGAAAAAAACATATCTCCAAGAACACTTGGAAACCAACAGAAATAAAGGCATGTGGCAGCCTTTACATTTTTTAGCCAAAAACTCCAAAAATTCCAGTTATAATTTTACAGCCAAAAATCTTAAAAGCAAGATCAGTTCACCAATCTGTAGTATACCAATGGACTGTCTAATGTGTGTAAAAATACATTAATTAGCATGAGTGAAAGATACCTTAAGAGTGCCAAACTCCAGTCACGTGCAGAAGAAGAGTGACTATCAAATAATTATTACAGAGATTGGAATGAATTAGAGACAAAAAGCCACGGCAACTCTCATCTTTGCAAGAATCCTAACCATAGCCCTGGGCTTTAGAGACAATATAAATTAGTCTTAAACAATGTGAGCCATTGGAATAAAATAGAAACAACGTAAGTAGAGAAGAGCAGTCAACTTTCCATTCTCATGGGTTTCTCTTGATGTGCACCATTTATTGCCAGTTTTCAGAATTCTTCCAGCATAGCCAGCTTCTCTCCATTATCATAAAGTTAGTGTCATATATAAAAATAACTAGAATGGCATATTTCATATGTATGCCTGTCTAATTATAAGTATCATTTACACTGTCTTCCAGCCCCACATTTGGAAACTTTGCATTGCATTGCTTCTCGTCTTCAAATGAGCAATTGAGAGTTGGCTAGATTGTGTAAAATATATAAAAATGAATGAACAAATTACAAGGATGTTGCCTTTTGAAATTGCTATATCTAGTTCAGTCTGTGAATAAACTCATTTTCTAGTAATGTTTTTGAAGCTGCTTAGACAAGGGATATTTGTTCAACTTTATAAATTTTCTCCTCAGCACCAGCTAGCTAGCACTGTTTAGGGATTTTTCCTCTTACATGATAGTCTGTGTTGCAGAGTTATGTGTGTTATTATATAACCTACTAAATGAGTACCCATATATTCCTTATTTTAATTGCAGTAGTACATCTTCACTCACACACACTTAGACACACACACACTGGACTATTTGCCCTAATGAATTTGCCTCTCCACTTTGAAAGCTGTGATTTTCCTTTTTAGTTGTCTTGTCACTTGAAATTTTGTGGATTTCAAAGATTACCACATTTGACTTGGAATAGGCCAGTAGTCCATTAACTTCTCTCAGCCTGCCTATTCTACCTTCTATTTATGAAATCTTTTCTTTCTTCCAGTTGTTCAGGAGCAGCTGCTTCTAAAGCTGGCTTAAAAATAAATAACTTCTCTTATTATGTTGTCAGTGATGTTTGCACACATTTTTGACTGCTATATAAAAAGGAAGAGATCATCAGGAAAATATACTCTAAGAAATATGAAGAAGTGCCTCTTTAAAAATAGAATAAAGTAGTAATAATATTGGCATATGGATTTTATTTGTACTGTCTTCTAGTAAGTAAGTACATGCATCTATATTATAAGGGTGAAATTTAGATATCATTTGAAGAAGGATATTTGAGGTCTTGCTTGGAGTATTTTCATACAGTACTAAGTCTCTGTGTAAGTTAAATTCAGTCACTTTAATACATGTTAATAACAAACCTGGCACTACGCTAAAACAATATTCAAGTATTAAACGGAGTTTTGCAAGCAAGTTTTTGAAGTGGGCATGCATGATTTCTTTCATTTCAATAATAGTTTGCATAAGCCTAGACGGAGTCATTCATTAAGTCTTTTCATGTAAAATGCTTATTTACCTTATAAATAAGTATTTACCAAAAATTCATACATTCATAAGCAGGAAAGCCAAGCATCTAGGTTCTTTTAATATTGTTAATTAGGTCACATTGTTAAATTAAATATTTGAAGTTTCTGTAATATTCCTGAGGGAACAGAAGTCCTTCTATTGCATCAAGAAAATGAAGAGTAGTTTTAGACATTGAGGAATATGTTTATGACCTCACCAAAGGAAACCTTCAGAACCATGGAGTGTATCTTCAGGGACAAGCTTTCTTTGTTTCTACAAACAACCTAAAGGTTTATGGACATGTCTGTGGTCCTTTAAAGAAGTTATATTAAGAAAACTTGCTGAGAGGCTGTATACTCTTCTGTTGTTTTATTTAAAGGTCTACCTTCTTCGGTTGGTTAATAATATCTCTTTGCTTCTTTTTTTTTTGCATGTGTATACTTATTAATGATTACTTGAAAAGTTGTCATCAGCCTTGAGGATATTTCAGAGAGATTTTTAACACAAAAAGAAAATGAGCAGAGCTCTGGCATGGTATTTGAACTTTTAGATGTGGTATTTACAGTTTTTACATCAATAAGCTCATAGGCATATATTCCATTTTAGATCTGCTATATAGATACATAGTTTAAAACATGGTAGTACATTTTAAATTTGTGAGGCCATTAGATTCTACAAGAATAGGCAGATTATATACGAATGTTTTAGAACAAAAGAAAATTGCTTAAATATCCATTGTGTGTAATTATCTTCAGAATGAAAAGGATTTTCATTTTGTGGTTTTTAGTTTTACTTGACAAAACAGCTTCCCATATGCTATTAGAACTATTTGGCATTATTTACTGCTTGAAGGAAGCAAATAAGTAAAAGTACAAAAGAGGCTTGACTTTGTAACATTATTATATCCTGATCTTAATGACTAAGAGAATATAGTATTTTTTCATGATTCAGGTTTTTATTTTATAAATACCCGGAGGGTAACCCCACATATGAAAATAGTGCTATGAAATCTATTATGTACTAAATATAGAATGAATTCTCCTGGACTGTAGGGAAAAATATAAAATAGCAATTCTGTGGATTGAAACACTCAAATTGGACTTTTTTCCCCAAGGGAGGAGGAGTGCAAATGATATTTTTGAAATAAAAAAAATTTCTTAGAAACCAAATAATTATAGAACTTAAATATAATAAATGCACTCTTATGATAAATAGTAGAAGTTGTTACAATGTAGAAGGTGTTTTGGTATTTCTGTCCTTAATGATATCAGTGCATTTATTCTGTCAAAATTATTTTTGTGATGAGTGAGATAGATCTAGATG